ATCGCCAGGATCTTCAGGTCTATTGAAAAAGAAAAGAGAAGAAGTCACTGCTGTTTCATTCGTGGGAAGGAAAACCCCCCCAGAAGTTCATCATATTGCCAAGGTCGTTCTCGGCCTTCCCAAAGTGCTACCAATATTGCTACACGCAATCTAGTCATCCCTATAATCAAAATGCTACTACCTCCATTTATCCGAACGTCCAAAATCCACTATACCAAAGTTCACCACCAAATTACCAAAGTCCATCTCTCTTTTACCCAAATCATCCTCCACCTTATCAAATTCCATAATTACAGTCGAGTTACTGAGCACCCCCTCCTGTTTATCAAGTCCAAGCTCCACTATACCAAAATTCCCCCCTCCCCCAAATTACCAAGCTCCATCGCCAAACTACCAAACAAATCCATATCCCAGAAGCCAAGCTCCCCGTCAAAATACCAAAAATTATCAACAGGTGCCTCCTCCTCAACAAGGAAGTTATGACCATCCCCGACCCAGATTTGAGAAGAAGCCTTCAAGGAAATTCACTGCGCTCACTGAAAGCCGTACAAAGTAGTATGAGCAACTGGCTGCGACAGGGTGCGTCCACCCTGTCGGGCCCAAACCCGTGGACATCAATTAAAAATTCTATAGACCCGACCATGAGATGTGCTTATCATTCAAACAGTGATGGGCATGATACTGAAGATTGTATCAACATCAAGCACAAAATTCAGGATTTGAGTGATCAAGAGGTAGTCTCTCTCCAACCGTCGACACCAAATATCAACACCAACCCATTGCCGAATCATGGAGGCGGCAATGTCAATATGATTGAGACAGACGAAGACTAGTGTGGAAGGAAGATGATTACTCCCACGTTCACAATGATTTGGAAAAGGATATCGCTTCTTTAAGAGTCAAAGAGGAGACAGTTTGTTATTTTTACACCTATAAAGGTTTTAGCTTTGGTGCCGTCAGAAACTCTCATCAAGCCTAAGTTTGTCATTGAAAAGACTTTTTCTCAAGGCATAACCAGGTCTGGAAGATGTTACACTCCTGATGAGCTTGCTCTCGAAGGACGGAATAAGCATCAGGCAAAAAGGACGATAAGAGAAGGTGAAGCGGAGGAATTTTGGAGAAAAATGCAGCCTAAAGATTATTCAATTGTCTGGCATTTGGAGAAAACTCCAGCTCAGATCTCCGTATGGACCTTGCTGATGAGATTTCAATCCCAGAGGCAGGCCTTAATGAAAGCTCCAGATGATACGTACATACCCGCAGGCACAAGCAGCAATAACGTGGCCGCCATGATTCACCAGGTTATTCGAGGACACCGAATTAGATTTTGTGATAATGAGCTTCTCGTTGAAGGGAGGTCACACAACAAGGTGTTGCACATCACTATGGTATGCCACGAAAGGGTTGTTAACCGCGTCTTAGTAGATGATGGATCTGGTCAGAATATCTGCCTGTTGTTGATATTGAGGCAGCTAAGGTTTGACCTTGGGAAACAAGAGCAAAACCACGTCAACCTGAGAGACTTTGATGGGGTTTAGAGATACACGTTGGGAGCGGTGAATTTGACCATTCAAATGGGCCCAGCAAAATTTAGCGTGCAATTTCAAGTATTGGATATCGATACCAGTTACAACCTTCTTCTGGGAAGGCCGTTAATCCATATGGATGGATCCGTCCTTTCTACTCTCCATCAGATGATGAAGCTCATGTGGAAGAATGAAGAGCTGGTTATTCATGGAGAAGGGAGTCACCTTGGCGACAAGTGCCAATCATGGATGAGATATCGCGAGGTACAGACTTTTACACGGTGGAGATGGTGAATGCCACCGGTGATTACTTGGCCCCACAGAACCCCATGCCTGCAGTGTACAAGATGATAGACACTGTGATGATGTAGAGTGATTTTGAGCCTGGTTTCGGATTGGGAAAAGATTCCCAAGGAATTATTGAGCCTGTTTCGGTCCTTGTTAAGGGATCCAGATATGATTCGGGGTACATCCCCACAGATGATGACATGAAGATGAAGAAGAAAAATGATCAAACATTGGCTAAGACGATCCCAAATCTGTATCAATCATTTCTAATCCGCGAGTACGCCGAGCATGAATGCCTTAGGGAAGGAATCTGTGACCTCTTCGAGGAGATCGATGTTGTTGTTGAGGAGGAGGTCGAGCTAGCTAGTATCCGTGATGCTAAGCCAGGGGAGGTGCTGCGGAATTGGACCCCCACGCCCATCTTGATACCCTGAACTCTTCAGTAGAAAGGCGTGATTTCATGCACATTAAAATCGATTGTAGCGCGGAAGAGGCCCGAGACCCACCATTTTGCATTTTTCGTAACTGTTCGAATTTTCAAATTTTCATTATGATGTTCAAAGAAGGCAACATGGCTCTATGCCATGGCCAAAGTATATATTGTTTTGTAAATTTGAATGAAAGCCTCTTTGTTTTTTTAACTCTATTTATTTAGTCGTTTGTTATACTTTACTTGCCTAACTTTGTCTATTTATCATTTCAGTAACATAAGTTTTACACCTGCGAATGTCATGTCATGTCATGAGCTTAATGAAGAAAATGAGGCAGGTGATGACGAGGTTGACGATTATGAAGAAGAAAGTGAGGAAACATATTATGTCGCCGATGAATTTCGGCAGTTCGAAAATCAGCATAAACCAAATCTAGAGGAAATGTAAACGGTAAATTTGGGGGGATCCGAGATGTTTTCAAGAAGTTAAGATCAACATCCACCTAAATGAAACTCAGAAAGAGGGCCTAATTCATTTGTTTGCTAAATGTATTGCTGTGTTCGTTTGAAAAGCCGGTGACATATAAGGGTTGAGTACCGATGTTGTATCTCATAAGCTATCGACTAACCCGGGGTTCGATCCAGTGAAGAAGAAAACTCGGAAATTCAAGCCTGGATTGAGCTTAAATATTAAGGAAGAGATTACCAAGCAGATAGAGTCCTGATTGGTGGAAGTGACACGGTATCCAACTTGGCTGGACAATGGTGTTCCTATCGCCAAAAAGATGAAAATATCAGGATTTGTGTCGACTACAGAGATCTCAACAAAGCTAGCCCGAAGGATAATTTTTCATTGCCAAATATTCATATTTTGATTGACAATTGTGCTAGGCATGAAATGCAGTCATTTGTGGATTGTTACACAGGTTATCATCAGATTCTGATTGATGAGGAAGACGCAGTAAAAACGACTTTCATTACACCTAGGGGTGTATATCATTACATGAGAGCTATGACGACCATATTTCACGACATGGTTCATAAGGATATTGAAGTGTATGTGGATGACGTCATAATCAAATCCCGTGAGAGTTCGGATCACTTGACACATCTAAGGAAATTTTTTGATCGCCTGTGTCGTTACAACTTGAATTTAAATCCCGCCAAATGCGCTTTTGGAGTTCCAGCTAGAAAGTTGTTGGGATTTATTGTCAGCAGAAGGGGCATTGAGCTTGACCCTTCTAATATTAAAGCAATTCAAGAGTTACCTCCGCCGAAGACGAGAAAAGAGGTGATGAGTTTCTTGGGGAGGTTAAACTACATCAGTCGATTCATAGCTCAATCAACCGTGGTATGTGAGCCTATTTTCAAGTTGTTGAAGAAAGACGCCCCGACAAAGTGGACTGAAGAATGTCAGACTGCTTTTGATTCTATCAAGAACTATTTCTTCAATCCACCGGTATTGATTCCTCCGAGAGAAGGGAGTCCTTTATTATTGTACTTTTCTGTCTCATATAGTGCATTCAGATGCGTACTTGGTAAATACGACGAGACATGAAAGAAGGAAAGGGCTATCTAATATATAAGCAAGAAGTTTACTCCATACGAGTCTCGTTACACCTTGTTGGAGAGAACTTTTGTGCAGTGACATGGATTTCCCAGAAGTTGAGTCACTATTTGTTTTCGTATACTACATATATCATTCACAGAATGGATCCATTGAAGTATATTTTCCAGAAAGCGATGCCGATCAAAAAGTTAGCTAAATGGCAAATGCTGTTGAGTGAGTTTGATATCATGTATGTGACTCAGAAGACAATAAAGGCACAAGCTTTGGCTGATCATCTTGTAGAAAAAATCCCGTTGATGAAGAGTATGAACAAGTTAAGACTTACTTTTACGATGAAGAAGTGTCATTTGTGGGTGAGGATATTTTTGAAGCATATCCAGGTTGGATATTATTCTTTGATGGAGCAGCAAATTATCAAGGTCAAGGCATCGGAGCGGTCCTAGTGTCAGAATCTAGTCAGCACTACCCTATGGCAGCTAAGCTCCGATTTAATTGCACGAACAACATGGATGAATACGAAGCTTGTATTCTTGGGTTGAAGATGGCCATCGACATGAATGTTTACGAGTTGTTGGTTATTGGAGACTCAAATCTTTTGATTCATCAGGTTCAAGGAGAATGGGCTGTGAAGAACCCAAAGATTATACCATACGTGTAATATGTGCAGAAGTTGTGCAAGAGGTTTCATAAGATCGAATTTAGGCACACTCCCAGAATATAAAATGAGTTGTCTGATGCTCTTGCCACCATTACTTCGATGATTAAACATTCAGATACAAATTATATTGATTTTTTGAATATAGAGTTGAAAGAACATCCAGTCCATTGTTCCCATGTTGAATCCAAACCAGCCGGTTTGACTTGGTATTTTGATATAAAGAAGTACTTGGAGTGTAGAAGTTATCCCGAAGATACTATGTCCAATCAAAAGAAGTCAATACATCGTATGGATCTCAATTTCTTTCTAAGTGGAAAAGTCATTTATAGGTTGACTCCAGATTTGGATCTTTTAAGATGTATTGATGCTGTTGAAGCTGTGAAGCTTATTAAACAAATACATGCTGGAGTTTGTGGAACGCATATGAATGGGCTCACATTGGAAAGAAACATCCTACGAGCCGGATATTTCTGTATGACTATGGAGAATGATTGTTGAAAGTTTGTGCGAAAATGCCACAAGTGTCAAATGCATGGTGATCTGATACAAGTGCCATCTCATGAGCTTAATGCTATGAGTTCACCTTGGCCATTTGTAGCTTGGGGTATGGATATCATAGGTCCGATAGAGCCATCCGCTTCTAATGGACACAGATTCATTTTGGTTTTCATTGATTACTTCACCAACTGGGTGGAAGTAGCTCCATATAAGTCGGTAACCAAGAGATTTGCAGTTGATTTTGTTCGCAATAATTTGATATGCAGGTTTGGAGTACTTGAATCCATTATTACCGACAATATCAAAAATCTCAACATCCACTTGATGAGATATATATGTGAACAATTTAATATTACTCACCTAAACCAAACCACTTATCGTCCCCAAATGAACGGAGCTGTAGAGGCGGCCAATAAGAATATCAAAAATATTTTAAGGAAAATGATCGACAAGCATCGAGGTTGGCATAAGATGTTACCATACGCTTTATTGGGTTATCGAACCAGTGTCAGAGCGTCGACAGGAGCTACGCCATACTTGCTAGTGTATGGAATAGAAGCAGTTATACATGCTAAAGTCGAAAGACCGTCTTTGATAATCATCCAAGAAGCTGAGTTAAGTAATGCTGAATGGGTCGGTAAGCGGATTGATCAACTAACTTTGATCGATGAGAGGAGAGTGATTGCCGTTTGTCATGGTCAGTTGTATAGACAGAGAGTGATTCGTGCCTTTCACAAGAGGGTAAGAGCTAGAATTTTTGAAGCTCGTCAATTGGTTCTTAAGCGTATTTTTCCTCATCAAGATGAGTACAAAGGAAAGTTCCCACCAAACTGGCAAGGTCCGTACATGGTTCGTAAAGTATTATTGGGAGGTGCCTTGGTCCTGTCGGAAATGGATGGAACCATATGTCCGAAACCGATCAACTCAGATGCTGTCAAGAGATACTACGTGCGAAGCTGCGGTTTACATTCTGTTATTCACTTGTAATTATTCTGTTTTCTTGTATTTGTTTTGCTTAAATTCTTATCCCTTTTGTAGTGAACTACATTTTGACCTGAATTCTCAAGAATGAGATGCGTAGGCGGCCTATGTCAGCCTCGGTCACCCCATTTATCCCTTTAGGTTATTTCTTTGTAGTTGAACTACGTTCGACCTGAGTTCTAAAGAATGAGATACGTTGGAGGCCTATGTCGGCCTCGGCCGGTTTCATTGTAATTTTCTTATTTTTATTAACCTTTGAGAAGGAACTATGTTTACTTGATTCCTGCCTCAACGGGATACGTAGGTGCCACAAGGGTTCAGTCATATCTCCCTTAAGAATTCTATACCTCTTTACAATAGAAACTGGGACATAATTTTTGAGAGGGACTCAAAAATTCTTGAGAAGAACATTCTTCCTCAACAAATCAAGACTGAAGATATTTCAAAATTTGCTACTGGGACAGAATTTTTGGGAGGATCCCAAAAATTCCATGATTTACTTACCGATAGTTGAAGGTACCCAAAACTTGTAACTGGGACAAAATTTTGAGGATGGCCTCAAAATTTCAGCCTGGTTTATCGACAGTTTTGAGTGACTCGGAATACTCCACAGCGATAATCAGATAGACCTCCAAGCATTAGACTCAAAGAAGTTTTTAAAGCCTAATATGACATGACTTGACAGTGACTTTTTTCAGATACTATTTCTTGAAATTTATTTCTCTTAAATTTTCCCTTTTATGTTTCATTTGTTTTGGCATAAAATATTTTGTCTCATCTATCAAGAGTCGGGAGATCGGGAAATCAATGGAAGATAGCAGGACAAACAGCAGGCAACTGAAGATATCGACACAAATCATTTTGTTTATAAAACTAACAATTTTCTGTGGACGCATGTTAATAGATTTGCTTTGAAATCAGCAAATTCTTTCGAATGATAAATATGGAGAAATCAAAGGAGGAGCAAACTATCATAAAATCAATAGTTTTTCTAGAAGGAGGGTGAATTTTGTATCGCTTATGTCAGAGACTTGGGAATATGAATTATTTATTTTGATTAATTTCTGACAACATGAAATTTATAAAGAACGTCCAGCTAGATTCGAAGGTGAATGAAGCAAAAATCTCAAGGAAGAGTTTATGGGTTTCCGTAAAGGACGTCATTTGCATCATAATGTCAGATATGATATTATGCATTACCCAGAGGGTTCAGCTGTTTTATTGTCGATCAAGATGATATACTATCTGGAAGTCGTTTTACCGATATCATAACCAGAGACAATATGATTATCCAGAAAGCATCCAAAAGATCACTATGTTGCTCGATTGAAGAAATATCTTCATTTGGTACCGAGGATGACATTGCGGTAAATATTCATGCATCACGGAAGATCATGCATCGCGAGTCAATATTCATGCATCGTGAAAGATCATGCATCGCAAGTCAATATTCATGCATCGCTGAAGATCATGCATCACGAGTCAATATTCAAGCTTCGCGAAAGATCATGCATCATGATTCAATATTTATGCATCGCGATTCAAAATTCATGCATCGCGAGTCAATATTTATGCTTCAATTAGTGCTATGTATCGCGGGAAGTTTTCATGCGTCGCATAAATTTATACATAGCGAGATGATTTTATACCTCGCAGAAATTTATGCATCAAGAAGATTCCATGCCTCGTTGAAGCTTAGGCATCACGAGATGATTTCATACCTCACTGAAATTATGCATTGCGAGAAGATTCCATACCTCGCAGAAATCATGAATCGCGAGAAAATATTCATTCGCAGAAATTTATGCATCACGACAAGATTTCATACCTAATAGAAACTTATGCATCGCGGGAAGGTATTCGCGCTCCGCAAAGAATCATTCACTGACAAAGAAGGAATCGTGCATGTCAAAGGAAATATTTACCCCTCAACATCAACTGCATCTTTATTCGGCAAGAACGAATGCAAGGAGAATCATCGAACACAACAAAGAAAATATCAACATTGCATTAGTTTTTATATATTCTGACATCAAATGAAGAGTACATTGAAGATTATATTGTAAACACAAGACATAAGCTTTATTTTTTTTATGTCAGAACGATCGAGTTGACGTCAAATGAAGAAGGAGAACAAGAAAGTGTCGACATGGTAAAAGACATTGTCTCCCATTTGAATTGCATTTTTAAGCTGATGAGTTTTATCTCAGTCTTTGTCGAGAGCATCCAAAAGTATGTATTCTCCAAAAAAAATAAACCACATGTGCAGACGACATCAAAAAGGATGCAGCACAACGTGGAACTTCTCTTAGCAGCGAACTGGGACATAGTCCGAAGAGGAATTTCAAGCTCTTAGGACGCGAGCAGAGGAGCGAATTTCACCACAATCAAACCACACCCCTATTAGAAGGAATGTAGGTTTTCTTTAAGTTTTATGAGTTTTGGTCTCGCATCCGGAAATTTCGATCTACCGGAAGAAAATTTTCCAATCTAAGTGACAATGCGCCAAGAGCCTTGAAAATTATGTCCGTGTGAATTATGGGTGTGAAATGAACCACGTTCATGGATAAGAGGTTACAAGCCTCATTTTCACACTCGACTTAATTTGTCACTTGTCCAGAACCAAAGGTTATCTAGCATAATAGATTTCTTTTTCAACCGATCGAATTGAACTACAAGCAGTCTGATTCCTTCAGTTAAGGATATGTAGACGAGCTCAAGTTAAAAGATCGGTTGTATTCCAACATTCGACCCCAAATTTTATTCTCCGGCATTTTGGTACCTTCGTAATTCGATACCGAGGTGGCTTTTAATTTCTTTCAAAATCGTGCATTAAATTAAGCGTATCGAACTGCATGTGGCCTGAATTCTCATATAGCCTGAGATATGCAGGAAGCCATCTTCCTGAGTTCGTCCATAATTCCTAAGTCTATACCAAAATCCCTTTCCTAGATTAATTTGTGGTCGGTCAAAATTGGATTGGTCAATTTCATTTTCCTCGAATTTCTTGCATCAATCCAAGCAAAATGAGGGACATTCCTCGCATGGGACACCAATACCAAAATTTAGAGACACCATCATGGTGCATTGTTTATGCACCATATCATCTAACCTGTAGCGCCCCACCACCATTTCCACAGAAAAATCTGATAAATGTTGTCCCTCATTTTATAATTCTAAATCACTTGTAATAGATTACTTTTCTCATGTTTTACTTATATTTCAATTATCCAACATAATAAAACACTAATTTACTTTAAAAAACACTCAAAATACTCACTTTCAACTCATCATCAAAATCTGCAAAAAAAATCAAGAGCCTCGACGAATACTCTCCTTTTTTCTCTTATTTTCTATTCTTGAACTCTCAACTAAAACAGTAGGTGTTTATGATTATAAAATTGAACCTAATTATATTATACCCCTAAAAACTTACTAAAAATGATTTAAATCTAATTGGGTAAGGAAAATGCTAAAAACCCCTTACTATTTTCGAATAACTTTCCTTATTTGCACAGCCTGGCTTCAAAAGGGCATATCTCACTCATTCGAACTCAAGACTTAGAAAACTCTATGGCATTGGAAATAAAATTCCAAGACCTTTCATTTAATATATTATGGGCCACCTAAATAATCTTGTACTGAAGAATATAATTGTTTGAAGTTGACCCAAAACTTAAAAGAACTTAGGAATGACTTGAACGAATTCCCTTTAATTCTTTTCTAAATTAAAGGTATTATATCTAGTGACCTTAAAACTTAAGAAATTTAAAATGCGTCGGTAAAATCATACTCATAACGAGGGATGATTCGAGTCTTAGCACAAATATTTTTTTGGGTATCATATTTGCTATCATTTGAGGATGAATGATATAAATAGGGAGATATTGTAACACCACAAATGTTTCTAAGCTAAAACCGGAATAATTTTGTACCCCTCGCAACTCTACTCTTAAAATTTTCTTATTTTTCATAAGTATATGAGCATGAACCACGTTTTTTTTCTAATTTCTCATTTTTATAAGATTTTATAAGTAAATCAAGAGTATCTAAACTGATCTATGGTAATAAGGGACCTCAACACCAATTCTAGTTCAAAGCATTCCTATAGTCTAAGATCACACGAGTTCATAAAAAAGTCAAAGTCAAAATCTCATATCTCTTATAATATAATTAAATTAGGTGGCTTAGGACCTGCCAAATTAATGACTTATAACTCTTTTTTCCAATGCCACAATATTTGTTTTATTCTGTGTTATGGAGTAAAAAAATACGTTTGTTTTACTGGGATTACCCGGGGAAGGAAATTTGGCAAACTTACGTGACTCAATCGACGATCCGTCGAATGAATTTGGAAATCGCAGAATTAGCTAGTTCCCTAAAACTTTAAGATTATGTCCATTTTTGGGATCTAAAGTCTCAATAGGTCATCTGACGAGTAATTTTTTGCAAGGAGCCTGATACGCTCAAACTTACTTCTCAAATAAGAAGTAAAGCGATCGTATCAAGTAAAGAACCCAACTAATGAGGTTGGGATCGTTCCCACGAGGAAAATAGTTCAGACTTTTAATCTATTATAACTATTATTTAGTCAATTAGTTCCTTAGAACACAAAAGACAATAAAGGGGGTTTTTATATCTAAATGAATGAAAATAATTAGCTAAATTAAAGTAAACAACTAACAGCTTCAAATCTCAGAGTTTAATCAATTAATAAAACTAACTAGGGTTTAAGTGTTCCCCATAGGTTCCTAACTTGATAATTCTAACTATAAAAATTCTTTCCTAGCATCTTGCATGTAAAATTATAAATTATGAATTTCTAAATCCTTGGTCCGACATCTAGAAAATTTCAATCCGCACCTTGGTTCGGCTACGTGCGTTTCTATACTAACCCTTACCTTTAACTCATATAAAGCATTGTATTCGATATTTGACTATGTTGTTACCTCGTACCAATCAATACTAGCCTATTAGATAGTATACACTAAATCTATGTTGATAAT